ATATATATATATAAAACATTTTTAATTATTTTTTTTAAATGAATGTGCCCTTGTAGTCTTTAATAAAAAAAGCATGAACACAAATTAACAAATGACAATGATCCAATCGCTTTCCAATACACAAAATCAGTCCTACCCTACTTTTTGTTTGTTTATTGTTGTTTACTCAGGTATACAACACAATAGGGAAGAAAAATCTGTCACAGTTTCGGGTTGATGGTGATATTAAGTTTGAAGTATATGATTCTGTGATATCGATTGGACAGTCCTTATTTCACTTATAAGCCATACAAGAACAGGTTTTTGAAAGCAGTTGCTGAACCTTGATAACTGTCAAATCAACCACCAATAACTTTCGAGTTCCAGCACAAAGCAAAACATAAGATTGTGCAGTATTTGTCTTTGAAAAACTACTAAGTCATTGTAAGCCTCATTGAGCCCATCTCACACAGAAAAAACAAGCAGCTCACTGCTTCCTGTTTGACTTTTTCAAGATTATATTTACTCAGGAGACCTCAATGTATTTGACTGACCTCTGTTTATCTCTCCTCCTGCCCCTCAGATAGCTTACCAGTGGCTCATCAGTAGAGGTCGACTGATGTATTGGTTTTGCCGATTAATCGGCACCAATATTTGATTGCTGGGACTATCGGCTATCTGCAAAAATCCATGCCAAAGTTTTTCCGGGTTGCGTCCGTTGCTGGAGCAACTGAGAAGGCTCCGCTGTCATTAGACAGTACGAGAGAGGCCTCTAGAGACGGAATCACTGAGACCTCTGGCTGTTTGTTTTGACACGTGACACTGCGTGCTGCACAGAGCAGGGATTTAAAACATCGACAACTAAACGATGTGTACACATTAAACTGTAGTGCATGTTTTCATATCATTACTAAGTAATTGATTTGCTGACTAGATGCGGCATTAGTGGAGAAAGAACAGCAGGATCAAGGCTGAGAAGACGCAAACATTTGCAGCACCTCAAATTGTTAAAACAATGTGACCAAAACACACGCAAGTCTGACGCAAATTGTCACAATTGTTACCATCTATTTGCATTAGTTTATATCCAGCTGATCGCATTAATGCATTTGTTAGCCAGCGAAGTTGCAGATTTAAAGCTAGTGACGTGAGAAAGCAAACTGATACATTGATTCAGCCGACTGAAATCCTGCCGCACCACAAAGC